TTTCCCTTGCTGAAGTTGAGCACCCTTGCTTTCATGCTGTGTTGTATTTCTCCTTTACGAAACAGATTCCTGATTAAGTGCTGTATGCCTGAACCAACAAGATGAAGCATGCATTTTGTCAGTATAGCATCCTTTTCCATGATATTGCCAGTTCTTTCATCAGTCTATACTGAAGTATAACTGGAAAAATGCTATGAAGGGAGTAGTCATTCAATCTATCCAAAAGTAAAAGCAGACAATTTTCTATATGATGTGTGGGGAAGAACTGCCTGACCAAAAAGTAGTGGTTGAAATTTGCATTTCTTAAGATAGTCAAAGCACTTGGAGTGAGCTTCTAATGTCATTCTTGATGCATTTGAGCTTCTACTGAACATTTTCTTTCTTTTCCTTCTTTCTCTTTGTGAGAACATTTCCTGAGGTTGGCATGTGTTTCAAGCTATTATTTCAAATTTGATTGGAGTGGTCTGCTGCAACATGTCCAGACTCCACTAGTTATTTGCAATTCCACTTAAGATATAGACATTTGAGAAAACTAAAAAAAAAAAAAAAAAAAAAACACCCATCGATAAATCATTAAAGGCACTTTTATATATGGTATAGATATAGCTATAAATACAACTTGGGAGTGTAAATGCTTGGTAAACATCATTTTTTTAAGCCACATTATTTTTCCAAATTGTAATGCCCAAAACAGATGGTCGAGGAATCAGAGATAAAGCATGTAAACATAATATAGGACCTACAGTAGAATAGAACCATGACCAAAATGGCTAAATATAAAAGAAAATGAGAATGTTGCAGTTCAATGAATTGAATTGTGAAGCAAGGGGGAAATTTGTTAGCTCATAATGACCCCTGTATAGTTCTTTTGTGTGCTGGGAAAATTATGATTGACCTTGAAAATGTTTGGAGCTGAATTGCCTCAATCAAAGTTTATATGATACATAGATACAATCTTCATGATGCTGCTACAACTGCCTTTTATTCTTAATTAGTTGTTAAGGATGGGCGTGTTTTTCAAATACAATAAAAATTTTTAAAAAGTACTCTAAAAGGTAATCTAAAAATTAGTTTAAATTTTTTTAAAATTTAAAAAAATATCTCAAAATATATTCTAAAAACTCTTCTACTCTTAAATATTCCAAAATATACTCTAAAACTCTGCTACAGCAAAATTTTTAAAAAACACTCTAAAAAACAGCTAATCCGAACGGAACCCTAATTTTTACTTCAAATGCCTTTAAATGTCATAGAGTTGAGAAAATTATAGGAACATTCTGATAGGTAGAACAATATGTCAAGCGTTATGAACATGAAGCCTCTCCTAGCATTGTTTTTGGTGTAAATAGTTTTTATTTTTGAACATATTTCCATTCAAGACACGTACTCTAACAAAGCTTGATCCTAGTTGCATTTGGACTTCAGTTTTCAAAATCAAAAGCTTCTAAAAGTCCTAACTAGTAAAACGAATAATGCTTATGCAAAACTGCTCCAATCTTAAAGGTCTTTTACCTTTTACCTTGAGAATGATTATTCATTTTCGGCAATATCTTGTGAGTTAACTGAAAAGAAGTTAAAGTTCCACTTCTTCACGTAATATTCCAAATAAAGAGATTTTAATTTTCCTGAAAAAAAAAAGAATTTTATGGTAAAATTCATAATAATATATATTTCCATATACATATAAACTAAAAATTTGTATAAACAGATTGAAAGGAGAAAAAGAGAAGAAGAGCAGGAATATCTTTACATTCTTGAATTGCAAGAAAGATTTTATAGTGTAGATTTTTTTTTTTTTTTTTATAGTTACAAGCATTGTAGAAACAGTTAATTTTGATATATTGTCGTGATTTATATGGACATGAGAAACAGTTAATTTTTTAAAATTACAATGAACTAGCCAATTAATAAAAAAGTATTAGAATTGACCTTAGAATTAGTTCGCAGATCGAAACTAACTTTTTGAATTCGACATCAACGGTCAAAATATTTTATTAACATTGCATTAAAGATTCACGCTAAAATATCTTCAAAAGCAGAAAAGGAAAAGGACACCACAAAGTACAAATTACATCTATAAGTTCATCTACAATATCCTAATTAACCCATTTTTCTTAAACATTATTCAAAGAAATATATTGAGCTTTTCCCTCAAAATGTCAAGAAATAGCTTGGGCTGGGTCAACCAGGAAATACCCAAATTCCAAACCCAACAAGATCGAGCTCCTTTACTTATGTCTGCCAGGCCCCAGACCCACAAAAACTTACTCAGACGCTCGCCGTCGCCTCTTTCTCTGTCTCTGCAATCTTTCCGGCCGCCGAAGTACAGGAAGCGCTTCCTGCCATTTATCCGGCCGCCCAAGTCCCGGAGTTGCTTCCCTTCAGTCTTTTCTGAGGTGGGTTTCTCTTGCTATTCTTGGTAGACTTTATACTTTATCGCTTCCCATCACAGAGCAATTTGTTATGGTATTAACTTTTTGGAGAGTTTATAAGCATTGTAGTTTGTATCGTTTGGGATGCTAATTCTCAAAATCAGCAAAAGAGTGCCTGAAAGTATGATTTCCCAGCTCAATAACCTGTTAAAGTTTCCCCCAATCACTGAAAAAAGATTAGCTTTACAGAGCCATACTCCGTTTTTTCTTTCTTTAACAAGGATTCAATTTAAGTGCTTCCATAGTTCTGGACCAGTTCGTTGTCCAAAAGTTGCACTGGTTGAATCTCCGTTGCCCATTTCTAGTTCTGTGATTAAAATTTCGCGGGTTGCGAGGAGTGATGCACAGGCTGCACTTTTTGAGTACTTGCACTATACTAGAGGATTCACTTATATGGATGCAGAGCATATTAGTAAGAATTCGCCTCATTTTGTTGAAAATTTGGTAATGAAGGTGGAAAATGAGCAGGATGTTTCGAGGGCATTGTCCAAGTTATTGAGATATTATCCCATAAATGAGTTTGAACCATTTTTAGAGAGCTTGGGATTGAGACCAACTGAACTTTCACTTTTCCTTCCAGCCAACTTGATATTTCTGGCTGATGATCATATGCTTCTTGATAATTTTCATGTTCTTTGTGATTATGGTATTCCTCGTGTGGAGATAGGGAAGATCTACAAGGAAGCAGCTGAAATTTTTGGATATGAGTTTGGAAGGTTAAATACCAAGTTGAGGGCTTATGAGGATTTAGGTCTTAGTAAACCTACCGTGATAAAGTTGGTTACTTCTTGTCCTTCAATTTTGGTTGGTGATGTGAACAAGGAACTTGTTGACGTTCTTAATAAGCTGACAGAACTGGGGTTTCAAAGGGACTGGATTGGGGGTTATCTCTCCAGCAGACACAGTTACAGTTGGAACAGGATGCTTGACACAATGACTTTTCTTGTTGAAGTTGGTTTTGGTGATATGCAGATTGGGGATTTGATTAGGAAAAATCCTGCATTTCTGCTTGAAGGTTCAGGGAAGCAGATATATGTATTGTTTGGTCGGTTACTCAAATTGGGCCTTAAGATGAATGAGGTCTATCTTTTGTTGTTGGAAAATCCGGAGATTCTATCACCAAAATGTGCCAAAAATGTTTGGAAAGCATTGTATTTCCTGTTTGAAATAGGAATGGAAACGGATCATATTGCAAAATTTCTACGTACCCACATTCAACTTTTGGCTTCACATTCTTTAAAAGGGCCAAAGACTGTGTTGAGAAGTTTAAATGGTGACAGGCAGAAGTTACTTCAAGTTATGAGTGAAAACCCCTCAAAGTTTTTTGCTTTGGCTTTTAAATCAAATCAGTAGCATTGAGCAGATACGGGCCAAGAATCCGGGCAAAATGTTGCAGAAAACTGCATTTCTGTTGAAATTAGGTTATATCGAAAACTCAGATGAGATGGGAAAAGCATTAAAGAAGTTCCGGGGCAGGGGAGATCAGTTACAGGAGAGGTTTGATTGCTTGGTGCAAGCTGGATTGGACTCCAATGTTGTAGTAGATATGATCAGGCAAGCTCCTACAGCTTTAAATCAGTCCAAAGATGTGCTTGAGAAAAAAATTGCCTATTTGATAAGTTTAGGATACCCTATTGAGTCCGTTGCAGCATTTCCCACATATCTCTGCTATGATATAGGGAGAATTAACCGGAGATTTAATATGTATTTGTGGCTGAAAGAAAGAGGTGCTGTAAAGTCCATGATATCTCCAAGCACACTTCTTGCTTGTTCAGAGGCACGCTTTACAAAATATTTTGTTGATGTACATCCAGAAGGTCCATTGAAATGGGAAAGTTTAAAAAAGTCATCATTGTCAAGCTAGATCAAAGTTCATTGTATTTGTGGCATCCCATTTTTGACCTAAGGGGCTCGTAAGTGTAGAATTATAAACATGCATCTTTAATAAAATCTAGTCAAATTTTATGCCTGTGCCTAAAAAATGTTGAAGCTCTGTTCAATTGTTTATTCATTTCCTTTCTTTTTCAAGTCACTTAAATATACAACTTGTGTGTGTGTATACAACTTCCTTTAGTAACCTGCTATATCTTGTTCCAATAATCCATCCACAAAGGTCTTCCCAAAGGGTGTCAATGTACCTTTATATATAGGTACTACAAGATTAAAGGTACATCAATTCTATTAAACACCCACTACTACAAGAATAATTCTACTTGTACAAGGCTCCTGACTTCTATATGACTCCTGTAGCCAAGCAGGTTTATGCATATATATATATATCCAGGTAGCTCTCCTAATTTCCTGTTTTTATATAAATGTCTGCTTGACAAAGTTGGGAGTATTAGATGGTTGTTACCAGGTTTCTTTCATATGATATGCGATTGAATTGTATTGAGCTGTCATAATGTGATGTTTTCTCATCAATAATACTGGTTACTTGGATAATGTAAGGAATTTTTAACAAGTAAAAGACGTTCAACTCTTTAACAGATGAAATGGTACCTTGTAAATTGTTGGTTGCCTTAATTTGAGAGGTGGAATGAGAAATATTGCATACTACCAGGCAAATGCATTGTTTTACCACTTGCGCCTAACTTGTATTGCAATTCCATAAATGATCAGTTGCATTCTCGTTTTTTTAACCCTTTCTTGTTTAGGGAGGAGGACTTGGTGTTAGTGTTTGGCAAGGGTGGAGGGGAATTGCTTGTCTGGCTGCTTGAACTGTCAATAAATGGTTACCCTAATTAGTAAACATGACCACTAATTCTGATTGAAATAATTAGTTACCTTTCTTTGCCATGGGATCCTAGAAAAAAATGATGATCTGACTTCTGCATCTTGGATCAGCACCAATAGTATTACAAAAGGCCCTGCTTTTATTTGCATCATATGTTGTCTCTGTCTTACAATTTCATCTACTTCTGTAGCATCTGGTGTCTGTTGCCACAGAATCTGACTCAGGAAGGAGCTCTTAAACCTTGGTCAGATCAGGCATGTCTTGTCCTGCAGCCAGAAGCCTGCTCAATGTTCTGGCAATTGGATGTCTTCATATTTCAGGAATATGAATTATCTTAGTTTTGAAATCATTGGATGACCATTTTGTGGGGCAATATTTTGAGCACCCTGTGATTTTTTAATTAATAGTTTATTGAAATAGGGGCTCTCAAGCATTGCTGCATATACAACTACCATTTGTTTGGAACAAAAAAACTAACAAGAATTTTAGTAAATATGATGGAATCACAAACCTTCCTATGGTTCATTTCTTTCTATTATGCTTTTTCGGGTTTCAGTTGGGTGGGGAAGAGGGTGAAGGAGGGCCAGGGGGTGAATTCTTTTACCTCGTTTACAAGTTTACATCTTGAATTTGTCCATCCTTGTAGTTAAAGCCAATTCGTGGTTTCCCCATGCTGAAGTTGAGCACATTTGCATTCATGTTGTACTGTATTTCTCCTTTATACAGTAGCTTCCGTATGAAGTGCTCTATGTCTGAACCAATCAGACGAAGCGTATATTCCGTTAGTTCAGCACCCTGTACCATGATATTGTCAGTTCTTAGCATCAGTTTATAGTGAAGTATAACTGTGAAGAGCATTGAAAAGAATCCTTAGCTCTCTCGGGCAAGCACAAGTAAAAGCCAACTGCCTGACCAGAAGGTAGTGTTTGAAGTTGGGTCTGTTAATCTAATCAAGTACTACTTGATTGATCTTGTTCTATCTTTGTTTGAGCTGATTATAACTAAACACTTTCTTTTCCTCCTTTTCTATCAGCGTTTCTCCTATTCTGTGGGAACTTTTCTGAGTGGCAGAAAGAGGGAAGGAGAAAGTGCAAATGGTGTAATCTGTTAAAGTTCATTTTTACTGGGGTAAAAAACAAAAAAGCCTCCTATGGTAAACATAATATACAGAAAATCCTTCCGTGGTTTCAAAACGTACAACACGAGATCTCATACTTTGAACTAAATTATAAAGGTAACGGAATCCGTTAAACTTAATGGAAATTGACGAAATAACAAAAATGTCCTGATATAATTAAGTAAAAGACAGTTCAATAAAATCATTTGCTTTATTCTCTAGAGAAAGAAAATTGAGAACTAAGGGGTAGAACATGTATATTTGTTAAAAATTAGGTATAATTTTTTTTAAAGTTTCAATAAGTCATTTTCGTTAAATTTAACGGATTCTGTCACCTTTACAATTTAGTTCTGAGGTATTGTATTGTACATTTTGAAACCACATGAGGTTTTTTGGTATATTAGGTTTATCACATGGGACTTTTTTGATTTTTTTTTATCCTTTTTATTGTGTTATTGGCTTACTTGAAGGGAGGAGATGGGCAAAGAAAGGAAATTCCGGTCTCTCTATGGGAGTTTAATTGTTTAATATGTTTATAAAATAAAGAAACAATGGATCATTGATGCATAATTCTTAAATATGATTGAATGTTTAACCCTGGATCAAAAAGATTATGGTTGGGAATCAGATTGACCATCTCTTCTTTCGGTTCCTCAATTTGTCCCACTTCTAGTACAACTAATGAGATGCATGTGAGAATCTTGCAAGATAAATTATATAGTTGTAAATGACATCAATTATAGTTCAATACCAAGAAAACATAAAAAGAATCACATTATGCTTCCAAATTGTGATGCCTAGGACAGATGGTCCAGAAAACAATATAAACATAATTTAAGACCTGCTATAGTACTAATCATCCTAATTGAGCCAACATGACAAAAATTGGAAAAAAGAAAGGAAAAGCAAGTTCCTGTTCCATGAATTAAATAATTAAGCAAAGTAAAAAAAAAAAAGGGAAGTTACCTCGTAATGATCCACAAGTTCTTGGAAATAAGAGTAAACTTGATTACAAGTATCATCAGTCCAAACGAACTCATCAGTAGGATCAAGAATAAGAGTGAGTTTGTCCATCTGTGTTTGATCAAATTCACTAGTTTCAGGGTCAACATAAGCTGCATAGATCCTAACATGTCTTGTTGCAGAGCTAAGCCATTGTCCACCATATTCTCTGGCCATGTTCTTGCTTTTCACGTTCATTTGTGGTTCAACTGGTCTTGGCTGCTTTAGAGTTTGCTGCTGTTTCTGTTTCTCCTTTTCTTCTTCCTTTTCTACCTTCACGTCCTCTTGAACATCAACTTCTTGAGCTGAAACTGTCAAAACCTTCCTCTTTCTTAAATCCCTCTTTCCCCCTCCTTTAAAGTGCAGCATGGACAAGTTTGTTGAAGCCATTTGAGAAGTAGCAGCAGCTGCCATAGCTGACAGAATCATTTCTCAGCAGTTCGAAATTTTCAAGAAGCCCTTTTGAATTCCCTAGAAGAATGCCTTTTTTTTCATATCCATTTATTACTGTAAATTTGGATGGATAAGCTTTCTTGTTCTCAGCAGCACTCCGTAGCTTTGTGCTCAGAAACGTGTCTGATAAGGAGAATGCATTTTTTGGAGCCCCTCAAATTATATTGTCTTTTTCATTCAAGTTATTGTTGCTGTCTTTTTCTTGCAACTTTGTCAAGTCCTCTGGATTTCGACTGAGCTTATACCATAATATAATCTTTATATGTAACCAACGGTCAGAAATTCTGCGGGTTTCTTGTCACGAAGTAAAAATGTCCTGAGGTCAAAATTTCAAGCCTGTTTTTCTGGTTGTATAGTAGTATTTTAAATTGGTATAGATTCGCTAATTGCATGGCACATTGGAGAGATGAAAACTGCAGGGTTTTTTAGATACTGGCCTTTGCACTATTAGTAATTTCTTTTCTCAGTTCAATTTGTACTTTTAATCACGTAAAACTGCCAAATAAATTCCAATAGTGAATGGTGATTCGACAACAATTTATGACAAATTTCACTCGAAACCATGTTCCCCACAGCAGTACCTTTCTGGGGCTTTCTTTGCCTTTCTTCTTTACCCTTATCTGACAGAAATATAGGGGTCACTTGAAACACTTCAGAATTGAACGGGGTACAAGCCAAGTCATTCTCCTGCCAACTGCAAAGTCACTGGCAAGAATGGCTGGCAAAATAGGCAAGTGCATTTTTCCTTAAAAAAAAAACACCTAAGCCATAAATCACCAACACAAAGTCATCAATTAAAATCTCAATTTCATTACTGAGCTATTCTGTACACTTTCCTGTAATTATACAACATCATTTATCCTCTATGAAGTATAAACCTATACATGACTAAAAAGACTATCAAGGAACTAGTCACATAAAACATAATCCTGCAATAGCACAAAAATGTGAATCACCTAATACTCCTACCTCACCTACAACAGAGACTCCTCCGAAACATAGCTGGTGGTCATATCACTTGAACTATTAACTGCAGGAGATGAAGCCATGATTAAATTTTTGTTCATTATGCGGACAGGTTTTATCAGTTCATCGACCTCGGCTTCTTCAATGTGTGAAGGTTCTTCATTGTAGTAAGTCGGCTCGCTTCTCAGCTCGAAACTTCGTTCCATTTCTTCAATGCTAACATCTAAGCTAATATAATCACTGAACTTTCCATCCTGAGCAAAAATGTCATCACCCTTTCCAGATATTATTTCAGAAACAGCTGCTTTTGAGACTGCGATATCTGGAGGCTTAGCTCCAAAATAGCGTCCTCGCGCATTTTTCTGAACACCTGCAGCTTTCCTTTTCATTCCCTTCCGTTTCTTTTTGGGATGGTGAAGCTTGCACTTAGGACCTTGCGGACAATCTCCTGTAGCTTCAAATGCAGGACATACATATGTGTGTTTCTTCTGGCACTGCAAATATAAATTCATAATCGATTTCCCCAGGTTGAGGGTCAGCAAACTGCTTGCATGTGATGCGGGGTGCATGTGGATATGCCAGGGTGGGTGCAGGTGCATGTGCATGTGAATATGCATGCGTATGTTGTGTACGTGTGCTTCTGTGAGGGGCAGAGAGAGAGAGGCAGAGCCAGAATTTTGAACTTGTAAAACACATTCTCGTTTTGCAATTCATGCAGAGTGAAATGTCGCAATAACTTAAAATCCTATGCAGCATTAAACATGATTTAGATCATAAAGAACTTGCAAAATAAGCAGTGCACGATATTTTCTGGTCCAAAGAAACTTCTATTCGAATTACCTTAACATTAGAAAGAATTATGTTCAATACAATCAACCTATTGTTTTTATAAAATAAGAATATATCTAATGCTGGAATTTAGAAACGAGCAAAAAAAAGGTGTTTCTGTTGTAAATAATTCAGTGGAATGTCCAACTATTTCCGAACGTGAGAAAAGGTGGAAATTACAACACCTAGAATCAAAAATGAATTTTTTGTGTAGAGAGAGAGAAAGAGAGAGAGGTTCATAAAAGAAAAAATCAAAAATAGGCTTCACAGATAATATGAATAAATTCATACAGTTGAACACTGAAACCAAATACCTCATTGCCATCAGCACAATAACCCCTTAGAAAACCTTCACAAATAGGGGAATTTGGGTTCACATTAACATGTCTATATGGACAACTTTCATTAGAGCACAATCCTGTCAAAAAAATGAGTTAGAGCTGTGCGAGTCATAAGTCGTTAAACTAAAAGAAGAAGAATATTCACCTTGCAGAAAATAGGAGCAATCTTGCATCCGCTCAGGAATGACCTACATGCATAATCAATAAAATATGCAAAGGTGGTGGAAACAGCAATAGATTGCAAGACTACCGCAAATCATACAAAGCAATTACAAGGCAACATACCTGATGAGTCAACTTGCAATCAGGATTGGAGCAAGAGCCATTCAAAAATTTAGTGCAGACAGCAATTTTCGAGGGATCGTGGATGTAAGGACATTTTTTATCATCCTTGTTACATTTCCCAAATCTTGTAAAAAACTGACAGTACTTTTTCTTTCTAGCCAATCGCAATCTAGCAGTGTGCAGACTCCAACGAACTTTCTCATTTGCCAATATTCGAATTCTTCTCTTTGGATCTCTAACTAACTGATTACCATTTCCAATTCGAATGTATCTACAACATATATTCAGCATAATAAATAAAATACCCCTTTTTCAAAAGCTGAAGTACAGTTCAAGGTAAGTCATAGGTAATCAACGTATCTTATTTCTTTCCCTTACTTTCCATGTTAAAACATCAGTCCCCAAAAATAAATTTGACATCAGTGAATATAACAACTAGTTATTGGACTTACTCATCACTGCCAATTAGTAATCTCCTTGGAACGTAAAACTTCTTTCTTTTGTTTTCAGTCGTGTCATCTGAGTATGAAGGTCGCTCATCTGCAACAAAGGTGAAGGAGATAGGAAGGAGAGTCATGAGGGCAGGTTAAAGATCTTAAACATTATAGCAGAGCAGAAGACGATCAAAGTATTCAAACAATAAAGAGGACCACGCATTTTTCTAAACTGCATATAGACCCAAAGTGAACGGCTGGAACCATGAAAATACACCGTAGCTTTCTAGAACTATGCTACTCAAGAAAGGAGACACATCTCAAGACTCTACATCATCATGATATTCAAGCCCCCCTTCCCCCCCTCTCCCATCTCCTGTCCCCCAGTTCAGCTACATTAGAGCAAAGAACAGAGTTAAATCAGAGGATACCTGTCGTAAGCACTTGGGATGCAGGATGGGAAGGCTTGGAAAATAATATGAAAGAAACTTATGTTTTGGGGGAAAAAATTTTCAGTTTGCAGCTGATCTAGATCAAACATTTAGGTCTTTTTTTTTATTTTGAGTTGGCTGTAGGCCAAGGTAGTTCTGTTAGAATCAGGTAACAGCCATGTAGAAGTTTTGGTGGCCAACAAGGCTAAACTCAAATGCTAGTACTTTCTTGAGCCAGCTTTCAGGTAAATAAGTAAGTCAAATTGCACCTCCCCTAACTTTTAGCTTCTAGCTTTCTTATTTGTTGTGTTTGCTTAGCCTTGAAGCTTACTTAAATCTTAAGATCTTTACTTCAAGTCTTGTTTCCAATGAAATTCAGTTGTCATAGCTTCAGGTCCGACCAAAATGCTAATGTAGTATTGACAAATGAACTCCATCTCTCTCTTAGAGTGAAGCCCTCTCTCTCTTTCCTTCTTCCCTCATTTCTGCAGTCTTCTGAAGTCTATTTTCTTTCACACATATAAATCCAAAGATATATTCTGCATACATATTCATCAGGTGCAGAACCTAAAAAGATCATGCTTCAACATTGGCATAAGTTGAAAGCTTTGTAGAAACCATATACCCAAGAGAAACAATAGAAAACACCATTTCCGGCTAAGCAAGAGCTTGAACCACAGGCATTGGTGGAGCATAAAAAAGCATAGCAACACATTAGGCTCAACTGATCTCCATTGGCCCATTGTTGTCCAAGATATATTTCAATATCATATTATCTCTTACTTCAGTCTCAAATTTATATCGAACTAGATGAAGTCACACCAGGCATCCAAAAGTGTCATAAAACACCAAAGACGTGGGGTCTTAAGATTCAACCCTTCAAATATGGTTATCCATAATTTCACATTCAACAGAGTGCTTTAGAACATCCACCTCCAAAACCAAAAAAATTCAAAGATCAAGTCACCAGAACTGTGCATTTCTTCTTCTGTCTTGATTTAGGAAATTGCCCAGTGAAACCAAGTGGTGAAGGCACTATAAGGTACGAAGATTGCACTTCTAACTAAAATGAACCATTAACCTAAGAAATCAATAGATAAATACATACTACTGAAAAAAATAGAAAGAAGAAACAAGAACAAAAAATAAGCTCTTCAAGTGAAATCAGAACAAGCAACCTGAGATCCTTTGTAACGTCTTCCTGGTCGGGTCCATTCTATATCTCTCTGAACCAACTCGGAATATCCGCTCGCCTGTAAGTTACAGGAGAAGAAATTAACAAACAACCTGGGTCTACTGAGTAAAAGACTCCAACAAAGAAGGAATTCTAGATAAGGCAGGATGAGCGAGCAAAAATAACAGTTATCAACTAAATCCAAAGGGGTTACCAAGAGTATTAACAAATATAAGTTTGCCAGGACCAGGATTGCTGACTGGCCTACCTGGGCATAGCTTTACACTATACACTGACTTACGAGAAACATAATTTCTGCTCTTAGACAGAGTAAGAACAGCACCATTTCGTGCTCTTTTCCTCTTCTCAGCCGCAACAACTGCTAGTGTAGCATCCTACAAAGAACAAATAATTAAGGGGGAAAAATGAAAACCAAAATTGCTAATGTTTTAATTAAAAACTCACGTTTCAAGAGTTAAATGAGTTCACATGAACAAACCTCATTAGCTTTTCTGGAGTTCCTCTCAATGGATTTTGACCACTTCAAACTACGACCACCCACACTAAGTACCTTGGATCTTCGGAGAGAGAATCCACTAATTGATTTTTTATAGATTGCATCCCTCTTTCTTGATAGCAGCAGTTTCTGGCTGAAGGAAGAAACAAAAGAACTCATCCATT